ATTCTTTTCTCCTCTTCTACTAATCTTGTCTTGATCTGGTTCCTGTCTTCACCACCTTTTCTTCTCTTGAATGTGGCTCAGTAGTTGTCCCTGGTCAGGTGGTGGAAACTGCAGAGGACTCTAAGCAGAGCAGGAATAAAATATGCTGAGTAAACAGAGCAGGGTGGAGAGGCTCAGGAAAACTTTATTTTTCCTTTTAAAAACTGTTTTTTCTTCATCTTTTTTCTTGTTGTTATCATCATTACCATAAATTTAATTCTACATGATTAATTCATGGCAAAACAGTCCATCCCTTCTCCCCTGAGAGCCAGCCTTGCCATTGCTCCCGCAGGAGTGCCAGGGCTGCCCTAGGTGTCCACCACTGTCACCATGATACTTATGCCTGCTCCCGCCCCCTCCTTCCCAGGCCATGCCATGGGGAATGGCTCCTTCTGCTGCCCTATGAAAAGACCACTGTTTTCTCCCTGAGGCCGTTTGCCACAGGGCTCCCAGTGAGGACCTGCCTCCTGTGCTTCTGCTTGCTGGTTCCAAGTGACTCTTGTGCAGTGCGCTTGCCAAATCCATCCCATCTGAAGGAGTGCCAAGTCCAGGCAGCTCTGGTGCCCTCAGCCACTCCCTTGGACATGTCTCTTTGCACAAGCCAGGGCTCAGGGCCATTGGGGTGAAGGTGACTGATGCCCCAGTGAGTAGAGGAGGCTAAGTGAGAAATGCTGCCTGTGGTGTTTACCTGGTGAGGTCCAGGGAGGTGGAGGTGGCCCTGTGAGTGCATGTGTGGGACTCGGGGCTCCAGGATGAGCCTGCAGCAGAGCGCACACCCATCTCAATGACTCACCAGTGCACTGGGCATCCATCCTGCCAGGCCTGCCTGGTTCTGGGGGACTGATCTGTTTGCTGAGAGCATGAGGTCCAGTGGAGGGGGACTTTACCACTGAATTTGGAGAACTGAAGACTCTGAAGCCTCTGAGAGTGCTGGGTGGAGGGTGTGTGCTGCAGAAAGCAGCCAGGCATGGAAGGGAGGCAGGTAGGTAAGATCCACCACCCAAACTCTCAGACACAGTGAAAGGCCTGCAGACCAGGACTTAGGAGGAGTGAGGGAATGTGATGAGAGTGGTGTGTACTTAAAAGTGAGTTCCAGAAGAAATGTCTGCATTAGGATGAAACTGTATGTATATGTGGCAAAACTAGAGGACGATAATTAATTTAGTTTTCTTTATAATAATATTTTAAATTTTCGTCTCATAAAATGGTGCATGCTAAGCATTTTGAGTAACATGTACTAGAATTATGCTTAGTTGTGGGTTCCCCAAATTACAATTTAATAGAAACTTTCAGAGCAGACAGTAAATGTCATGAGAGGCAGTAGAAATTTTCCCTTCCCAGATCTTACTTGCCCAAGTTAGTGAATTTTATTTTCATTGATATGTTCCTAGAATAAATTCTGATTTCAAAATGTACAACATTCTTCAATAAGTACATGTATATATACATATATATACACATACATACTGTTTCCCTTCTGAGTTAAAAATTAACTTTAATATATGCCACAAGTCAGCTTTCAGAAATTAATTCAATACAACAAATTAATAACAATTTTATTTCAATAAATGTAACACCAATGGCAAATATCAGTAGATTAAAAGAAATATAAATGTATAAAGTATAACACAAAATTTTGGCTTTGTTAATATAGAACACTTAGAGACAATGATATTCATGACTTATTTCTCCTAACAAAATCTGAGAAATAACCGTAAAAAAATTGAACAATGGTTAACTAAATTTTTCTGCATCTAGTTGAAATTTCCTATGTTACAAAACAAGAATCTGAAGACTTTAGGGGCGAGGGGGTACTGGGGATCGAACTCAGGTGCACTGGACCACTGAGCCACATTCCCCAGCCCTATATTGTATTTTATTTAGAGACAGGGTCTCACAGATTTGCTTAGTGCAAATGATTTGCTTTGGAAAACTGCTTTTAGTGAGGCTGTCTTTGAACGTGTGATCCTCCTGCCTCAGCCTCCCAAGCTGCTGGGATTACAGGCGTGCAATCTCATGTCTGCTCTCAAGACTTTTGATTTATAGGGGTGGGAAAGAGTTTCTGTGTCACCAGCGAAGTCCTGGTGTGACTATATTTACTCCTGAGTTTGGGCTCTGAAAGAATTCTCTTTGTCTACTGTGACCTTTCAATCTTGGCATTGCCCTTGACATTGAAATTTCTTCTCCTGTTCATACCCTGTAGTGTTCTGATTGGCCTATTGCTTTCTTTCTATTACCTCCCTGCCCTTTTTTTAATGAAATTACCTAGAAGATTTATGCTGATGTTTTTCTCTATTCTTTTCTCCATACCACAGTCTATGTTTCCTATTTCCTTAAAATAAAGTGTCTGTTTTGACCTTGAATCAAAGTCTCTGTGAAGCATTAACCACACTGGTTAAACTTCAGATGTAACTGACTCATTGCTTATTTTAAATGATAAAACCTTAGGTATACAGAGATGCTTAGAAAATTTTAAAAGATGTTATAGAAAAGCAGATTTAAAAGTTCATTAAAAAGTATTAAAATCATGTGGAGAACATATTTTGGGGCCAGCTTCCAAGATTACAGAGGAGAGGTGGGTAAGAAGTCTGTGTTGCATGTCTCTCCAACATTAACAAGGATTTGTGGATGGAGCTGGGGAAACAGACTTCACCCTGGGAAAGAGTTGCATGTCCAGGGGAGAAGCTGCCGGGTGTGTACCAGGTTCTTTCTCCCTCCTTACACATTTAACTAGCTTGCTGCTAGAGCACTCATCTTTGGATTCAGGTGTAGCTCTTCCAGTCAATCCAGATGCCACTGAATGGCACAGAAGGTATAATTTCATTAATAATCCTGGCATCTTAGGAGTGTGCTCCAGACCTGGGGTGATGGGTGGGCAGAGTCGTGAAATGTGCCTGTGGAAATTCTAGATGCCTCATAGAAATTGCATCTGGAGGTAGAAGCAGGACACTGAGGGAGACAGGAGTGAGCGATGTTGGCTTCCCAGGGCTGCAGGGAAAATGTGGATGGCTGGTAGATGCAGTGAACACCACAGTAACACAGTCAAGTCAGAAATGCACAGGAGGAAGAACTTAGGAGCAATTGAAAATATTTGATGTCCATTTAAAAATTCTGTCTGTGGTAAGTCTTTAATGGCACCTGCAATGGGCATGGGGTCTGCTAAACACAGGGATCTCAGTAGTAAATGGTCAGGGGGTGACTTCAATAAAGTGGAAAATTAATTGGAAAAGCAAAACCAGAGGGAAAATATGCTTCCAGAGACACAGTATTGCTCAGTTTGAGTTGTGAGTGATTTTCACTGATTTGGGAAATGTTTGTGACCAACCATCTCACAGGAAGCACGTTGCCTGAAGTCTCCACCTGAGTGTGTCATCAAGGCTTCTGAGCTGTGGGTCAGAGCCTTTGGAACAGCCAGGACAGGGGCACAGGCAGGGTCCCAACCCTCACTCAGAGCTGGTCTTCTTGACTCACTTCTAGGTCATTTCATTAAAAAAAGGACCACAGCAAAATGCTGCTAGCAGTCCAGGGAATTAGAAATAAGGTTAAGAATTGATCTAGTGCATGATACAGAAACAGCATTTATAAAAAATATATGCAAGACTAAATCATTTATACACTGTTAGTGACTTAATTTTCATATGTGCAAATATAAAAATTAATTATATTTAAGCTCAATAGTAATTGTCAATGAGATGATCAATTTTTTGTTGTTTTTAATTATATGTATATATATATATATCAATTATATGTCTATATATTAATTAGACATATCAATCATAGATGTATACAATCTCCATATTGAGGGAGAGATTATATATACAGAACATTACAAATAAGTATAAAGTAAGGATACAAGTAACCACCTTCCAAGTATAAATAAATAACATGAACACGTATGACTTCCCATATGTAGAATAAAAAAGTTATGATTCAAATTCTACACATTAAGAATACAGAGAAAAGTAAAATATATTTGTAAAGATACGTTGTTGATTTTGACTACATATAGCTTTGATTTCTTACATATAAACAAGAACAATATTTAAAATCATCCTATATTTCATCCTCTGGAAGTTTTATCTACTTAAAATTTTATTTAAAATGAAGTTTCATTGTCATAATATTTATGTGTCCATTTTTTTAAAGAGAGAGAATTTTTTAATATTTATTTATTTATTTATTTTTAGTTTTCGGTGGACACAACATCTTCATTTTTTATTTTTATGTGGTGCTGAGGATCAAACCCAGCGCCCCACTTATGCCAGACCAGCGCACTACCGCTTGAGCCACATCCCCAGCCCCTATGTGTCTATTTTTGTATTTACTCATTTGTTCATGGGCTGCTGTGGAGTATGCCCTTGAACGAGGACTCTCACATCCCAGGCTCATGGTAGAATGGTCTCTCTAGCATGGCCCATGTATGTTAGTCATGAGCTCAACACCCATGATTGAGCAACTGCTGAAGGCCAGGTCTGTCCTGGGCAGTGTCCATCATGAGGTTAACCCTGGTGGAGCAACGACAATGAGAGGTGAGTGGAATTGACCTGTTCATTTAATAAACAGAAGGCAAAGGTGGACTGCAAACCCCACACAGCAGAACGGTAAGGAGACCAGAGGAGTCCGGGTCCAGCGGGAGCATTGGGATTTTAAGAAGCCTGTGCAGGGTAGGCCTCCTTGAGAAGGAGAGAGCTGACCAAACACAGGACTTCAGTTTGTTACGTGGAATAAACTGACATTTTGAGACCCAACAGAGACTCACAGGCCAATTGAGCAAGCTAAGCATGATTCAGGAGCGGATCAAGTGCAGGACGGCTCTGTGAAACAAGCCATGGGTCTTGATGACAAAACATGCATCAGTAACCTCACTTATCAGGCAGACCTATGTAAGTGACATCGAGATGCAGCACTGTTTTCTTTTTCTAATTAATTAATTATCTCTTTTTAGGAAAAGCAGAATCGAGATGAGGCCCGACAACCACAGTGCCAACACTGACTTCATCCTCCTGGGACTCTTCTCCTCTTCCCACTCCAGTGTGGTCTTCTTCTCCTTCCTGTTTGGCCTTTTCATTGTGACCCTAACAGAAAACGCCCTCATGATCCTGCTCATCCGCAGGGACCCGCGCCTCCACACCCCCATGTACTTCCTGCTCAGCCACCTGTCCTTCATGGACATCCTGCACATTTCCAACATCGTTCCCAAGGTGATCGCCGACTTCCTGACAGGCCGCAGAGCTATTTCCTTTGCAGGCTGTGGGATCCAGGTATTTCTGTCCCTCACGCTGCTGGGTGGTGAGTGCCTCCTCCTGGCTGCCATGTCTTGTGACCGCTATGTGGCCATCTGCCACCCCCTGCGCTACCCAGTGATCATGAGCGAGAGGGTCAGTGTGCTCATGGCTGCAGGGTGCTGGCTGGTTGGGACCCTCAACGCCATGGTGCACACAGGGCTGGTACTGCACTTACCCTTCTGTCGCTCTAGAGTGATTGATCACTATTTCTGTGAAATTCCTGCCATGTTGAAGCTGTCCTGTGCAGACACCTCAAGCTATGAACGAGGGGTTGATGTGAGCGCCATCCTATTTCTGCTGATCCCTCTCTCCATGATCTGTGCATCTTATGTGCAAATTCTTCTCACTGTCCTCAGGATGAAGTCATCAGAGGCCCGGAAGAAGTCCTATTCCACCTGTTCCTTCCACATGGTTGTGGTCATAATGTACTATGGGCCCTTTATTTTCACATATATGAGACCCAAGTCATACCACACTCCAGGCCAGGATAAGTTCTTGGCTATATTCTACACCATCGTCACGCCCACGCTCAACCCTGTCATCTACAGCTTCCGGAACAAAGATGTCTTGACGGCCATGAAAAACGTGCTCAGAAGTAGCTTCCCATATAGAAAATGAATAGGAAAAATGATGAACCTCTGTGTACCTTTACTTCTATATTTCACAATTAGAGGACATCTATTATTATTTTCTCTGGGAAGAAACTAAAGCTTCTATCCCTTTAAGTGTGGAAAGAAATGCATGTTCACAACACTAATAATAACACCTATGCAGCATGTTTTGCTCTTCAATCCATACCTAGCCTGTGTCTCCTTCTGTGCTGTATATAATCATCCAGGTACTTGCAGGAAGTGAAGGACATCCAACATCTCTAGGCCCTGCTTCCGAACTTCAGAAATACCTTTTAAATTACACTCATGTACACACCATTTAAGAAACATGAACCTATGTGTGTCTCTATTTTTATGAAACTGAGTAAAGTTACATTTCAAAACTTTACAAATCTACAAAGAATGTGAAATTCTCAGAATTTAATTATGTGGTTTGCATTGACATCTTTGTTTGCTGAGTTGAGATATTCAAATGTGTACTGACACACCCATACTTGCTCTGATTGTAATAAAATAGTTATTTTTGCTAGAATTAAGATTACATATTCTTTTAAAACATCCAGAATGTTGTGCTCACTTCGGCAGCACATATACTAAAGTTGGAACGATACAGAGAAGATTAGCCTGGCCTTTGCACAAGGATGACAGGAAAATTCGTGAAGCATTCCATATTTTTAGATATGCAAAATTGTGGTATATGTGTGTAATAAGAATTATAATGCAGGGGCTGGTGTTGTGGCTCATTGGTAGAGTGCTTGCCTAGCATGTGTGAGGCACTGGGATCGATTCTCAGCATCACATATAAATAAATAAAGGTCCACCAATAACTAATAAAATGTTTTTTAAAAATAAAGAATTATAATGCAAAAAAAGTACATGTATAAAGACATGAATTGGTGTGAACATACTTTATATACAAGATATGAAAATCGTGTTCTATATGTGTAATAAGAATTGTAATGCATTCCGCTGTCATGTATTTAAAAAAAATCAATTAAAAAAAATCCAAATGTTGTTTCATTTCACATATACATAGTTTCATGTTTTACAAATGGTTCTAGAAATTTATTCTAAAATTATTTTAAAGAAGAAAATGTTTATTAAGATTTCATTTAATTAAAAAGAATTAATTTTAATAATTTACAGCAAAACCTAGAAAAGCCACACTTTTTGAGGCAAATGTTCAAGTACGTTTTATTATATTGAGCTCAGAAGTCAATATTAAATAAATACTATAAAGCATTTAAGCAAATGTGAAGATGTATAAATGGGTGAAAAGTTGTCAATTTTTCTTTCACAATTGGAAATTTTAAAACAATAAGAATAAATATTAGCAAATTTTGGTAAATTTGATATAATAAAATGTAGATAAGTATAAAATAGGCTACCAAGTTTTAAAACAAGCAATCTGGCAATAAGCATTAAGGACCTTTATTAGATTATTTTTGTTTTCAATCATATTTATAATGAGGTTGACATAGAAATATAATAAACAGTGGTCATATATTAATAAAAATTTTTTTGCCTGAAAGTCTGGGATTTTCTTACTTGCCTTCATTCCTAGAATTTTGTATTATTCCTCAAGGGCTTTGATGGTTTATTTCACTAGACTCTTAAGAGAAAATTTGCAGCAGGATATAGGTATAACAAAGGGTTGCCAGAGTTCCAGCTTCACAGAGATGCTTATTTCAAAAGCAGTGTGTCATGCAATGTACACTCTTAAAACTTCTTTTAACTCCTCACAGTAACATCCAGGTGGAGTCCCATAGCATGCAGTTGGGGTTGGGAAGGCCGGAATACCTGAGTATGTCAGCAGGGGAAGGCCACCCCCAGCTAGCAGCTCTGAGGGCAGCCTCAAATATGGGGGTCAGAGTTGGGAGATTTTTCAAAAGTCTCATCAACCTACAAGCTTCCTGAAAACAACATTCAAGGCTAACAGACTTAGTTTCCCAACTGAGATATAGAAACAGAAAAGGCTGCACTGAGTTTGAGGGGAGATAAAACACCTAAAAAAATGGTATGTGGAAAAAAAGTTGTATTTATATGAAAAGAATTTTTTAAAAGCATGGTCGAATCTGGACAGGATTGTAAGGAATACATAAAAAATACAAATGGTACTCGTGATATTTTAAGATTAAACATAAACCTAGGGTCATCTACATAGATAATAACCAGTGAATTTAAACCATTTAGTATTCCATAAGCAGCAAAGAGACATTCTCTGACAACTTCTTCTATAAGTAGAAAAAAAGAAAATTCATAATTAGAAGGAAATCAAGCAACATTTCCATTCATTTAGAGAGCTTAGTCCAAGAATCGGTGGTTGTTCCATCTGTTCAATGAAAATCAGTATGGTTACTCTCCCTTGATAGGGTCTCTTTGGCTTTTCTCACCTGGTTTCTCTGAACTGGTAGAACTGCACTCCTTAGTCAACTATTTCAGCAGAGAGCTGTATGTTTTACTTTGCACACACCAGCTTTTTCCACCAAACTCTTCTTGTGTGTATCTGTGCATGTGTATTTGTGTATTTGTGTATTCAATTCCTTTTATAAAACAAAACAAAACACAATGAAACACAGAAGAGAATGTTATACAAAAATCAAAATTAATATTTAAATATAAGGAAAAACTGACAGATTCTTTCCACATTTTAGGTATGTTTCCAAGGGCACTGCTGCAAAACTTATTGAGCAAAAAATCCATTTCATAAATTCCTAACTTGTATTTGACTCAACAAAGATTTGTATATTGAAACTACACCACAAAAAAACCTGGTAATCAGTGTTCCATGATGCTTTGGCCACAGAGGCGGTAGGAGGTCCCCTGCCACACGAAGGTTAGAGTGCTCTCCCCGCTGGAGGCGGGGAGTCCCCTCTACCCTGGGTGCATTGGGGTGAACCTACCCCCCCACACACCCAGGTTCCAAAGGTCTCCCCGCTGGAGGAGGAAGTCCCCTCTACCCTGGGTGCAGTGGGGGGGAGCTCCCACACACACACCCAGGTTCCAGGGGTCTCCCCTCTGGAGGGGGGACTTCCCTATACCCTGGATGCAGTGGGGGGGAGCTCTCCAACGACAACCAGGCTCAAGGGGTCTCACCCCTGGAGGGGGGAGTCCCTCTCACCTGGGTGAAGTGGGAGGAGCTTCCCACACACACATACCCAGGTTGGAGGGATCTCCTCCCTAGAGGGGGGAGATCCCTCCACCCTGGGTTCGGTGGGAGGGAGAAGCTGGCCCCCTACACCCAGGTTAGAAAGGTCTCCCCCCTGGAGGGGGGAGTCCCCTCTACCCTGGGTGCAGCATTGGGGGAGCTCCCCCCCACGACACCCATGTTCTAGAGGTATCCCCCTGGAGGGGGAAGTCCCCTCTACCCTGGGTGCCAAGGTGTACAGAGCTCTCCCCTGACACACAGGTTGGAGGGGTCTCCCCCTCCAGGGGGGAGTCCCCTTTCTCCTGGGTGCAATGGTGTACAGAGCTCCCCCTACACACACACACACACACACACACCCAGATTCAAAGGGTCCCCTCTCCCCTGGGGGCAATGGAGTACAGAGCTCTCCCCCTACATACCCAGTTTCAAGGGGTCTCCTCCATGGAGGGGGAGTCCCCTCTCCCCTGGGTGTGATTGTTTACAGAGCTCCCCACACACGCACACACACACCCAGGTTCCAGGGGTCTCTTCCCTGGAGTAGGGAGTCCCCTCTCCCCTGGGTGCAATGGTGTACAGAGTTGCCTCCCCACACCTAGGTTCGACGGGTCTCCCTCATGGAGTGGGGAGTCCCCTCTCCTCTGGGTGCTATGTTGTACAGAACTCCCCACCCCCCCAAACACCCAGGTTTGAGCGGTTTGCTCACTAAAAGGGGGAGTCCCCTCTCCCCTGGGTGCCATGTTGTACAGAGCTCCCCCGTCACACACACAGGTTTGAGGGGTCTCCCTCCTAGAGGGGGGAGTCCCCTCTCCCCTCTCCCCTGTGAAGCAGGGAGTCCCTATACCCTGGGTGTGGTGGGGGGGGAGCTTCCCCCCCAAGAAACCCAGATTCTAGGGGTATCCCCCCTGGAAGGGGGAGTCCCCTCTCCCCTGGGTGCCATGTTGTACAAAGCTCCCAAAAAAAACCTAGGTTCGAGGGGTCTCCCTCCTGGAGGGGAGGACCCCTCTTACCTGGGTGCTATGGTGTACCTAGTTCCCTCCAGCCCAAAACTCATGTTCAAGGGGTCTTCCCCCTAGAGTAGAGAGTCCTCTCTCCCCTGGGTGCGATGGTGTACAGAGCTCCCCTCCCCCCATCACGCAGGTTCAAGGGGTCTCCCCCCTGGAGGATGAGTCCCCTCTCTCCTGGATGCGATGGTATACAGATCTCCGCCCCCACACCCAGGTTCGAGGAGTCTCCCCCATGGAGGGGGGACTCTCCTCTCCCCTGGGTGTTGAGGTGTGCAGAGCTCCCCCCACACACACAACACCCAGGTTAGAGAGGTATGCCCCCCTGGAGGAGGGTGTCCCCTCTATCTGAGTGTTAAGGTGTGCAGAGTTCCCCACGACACCCAGGTTAGAGGGATCTCCCCCCTGGAGGGGGGATTCCCCTCTACCCTGGGTGAGGTGCTGAGATCCCCCCACACACACCCAGGTTATAGAGGTCTCCCCCGCTGGAGGAAGGATGCCCCCCTACCCTGGGTGCAGGGGGGAAAGCTCCCCCTCATTACTCAGGGTAGAGGTGTCTCCCCCCCAGGAGGGGAGAGTCCCCCCTACCCTGGGTGCAATGGTATACAGAGCTCACCCCCTACACCCAGGTTCGAGGGGTCTCCCACTGCAGGGGGGAGTCTCCGATCCCCCAGGTGCTGGGGGGGGGGTGCTCCACCCCGACACCCAGGTCTGAGGGGTCTCCCCTCTCTGGAGGAACAAAACATAATTATCAAAACATAATTAATATATAAAATGATGGTATATATTTTAATTATACATACAATTTTTATGTTCAAATATTGTTAAAAAGAAGTTGCTGAACGGAAAATAAATTCC